CGATAGTCATGTAAGGGACCCGGGTGGGCCCCCCAGGCTGCCAGGGCCCCTTACATGAGTATCGGCCGTACCCCCTGATGGCTGCCCTGGATATACCCATGGCACAGGATTCACAGAGCATTATTGGTTTTCAAAAAGAAGAGCATTGCAGAAGTTGTCTGCCTTCAGGCTCTTTCTCTCTGATGGAGACACCTTACAGTTCTCTGAAGAGGGAGGGGAGGGAGCCACTGCTCTGACTCATCCAGCTATGTGTGTAAATTTTAGCTGGAGCTATTAGAGTTTGTTAACAACAGGATATATTTAAACAGAGCAGTTAATTATTAACAGCTAAGCATGTGGAAAAGAGACAGAGTTGCCCCTGCTACTACTTCATGATTGCACAATGAAGGAACAACAATAGGCTAGTGAGCTCATCTCTCTGCTCACTTTGCTTTTACATTATTACAACGGATTATAAGAGGCTGCTATCAAGTCATATTTGTACCATTAAACAATATTAATTTTAATGAATACAAAACTGCAAAAATTGTGTTTTATATGGGCCTGGAGTTGAGCTTTAAAACATTTGTGTTACATTTTTACAGGTTTAATAAATGTGCATGTGTAAAAGCCAACAGCAGTGCAGAATGTCTTTGCCTTTGCTCATTCAATGACACTTGTGTGGTCCACTTTGAGAATTCCACTTGCTTTTCATTCTGCAATTGAGTCCTGGCATGTTCTCTCTTTTGGAATGGCCTAATTTAAAGCAGTACTCCAGGCAACATTTTTTATTAAAAGAGAACTATATGGCAAGTGTCTTTCCCCATAGTTCTCTTTAGGGTCATGGGAGGACATATACTAGCGTCCTCCCGTGACCCAAAGCTCAGTATATCGCGAGCTACAGCTCGCGGTATACTGAGACCGCCGCAGCCGGGACGGATCACAACAATGCTGTCAAGATCCACCCAGCTGCGTGAATAACAGCTGGCTCTGCCTAGCTAGAGGCAGAGAGAGCTGTACCCACCCCCTCCCCATCCGTTCCTCCAGTCAGTGCTGGAGGATCGGAGCGGGGAGGGGAGCAGTGCTCTCTGCAGGGAGATCGGGAAGTGAGCGAGCGACGGTATGCGTTCGCTCACTTCCCAATCTATTGAGCCGACATGTGACAGTTTCATTGTCACACATCGGCTCGAACTATGAGGATGAGTTTCACTCACCTTATAGTTCTCCTTTAACCCTTGCAATGGGGCTACCCCTGCACTGCATTACATTACTGTCGAGATCCACCCAGCTGCGTGAGTAACAGCTGGCTCTGCCTATCCAGAGGCAGAGCCAGCTGTACCTGCCCCCTCCCCTCGTCCGTTCCGCCAGTCAGCGCTGGAGGATCGGAGCGGGTATGGGGGAATCCCTGCAGGGAGCTGTGAGTGACAGTCACAGCTCTCTGCAGGGACATGATCAAGAAGTGAGCGAGCGACGGTATGTGTTCGCTCACTTCCCGATCTATTTAGCTGCCGTGTGACAGTTTAATTGTCACACGTCAGCTCGAACTATGAGGATGAGTGATTTTCACTCACCTCATAGTTCTCCTTTAGCCTTGCAATGGGGCTACCCCTGCACTGCAAAGGTTAACTACTTGTTTTATCTAGGTTAGAAAAAAAAAGTTAAACTCACACAATCCTAGGAACCGCTTGCGCTTAGACCGGTCCCTGGAGCCTCTCTCTCCCTCCTCTGCAGCGGTCTAAGGTCCCGTAAATCATCACATTACATACACAGTGAATAGACGTGAGGACACTGAGGAACATTCCAATGCTGCAGTACCTAGACAAAAACAAGCAGTTAACCCTTGCAGTCTGGGGGTAGCCTACTTTGTGAACTACTACTATATGTTGGTTCCTTTGTTTGTAAGTGGGGTCACTTAGCTTGCTATTCTCTCTTGGTTTAACCTTCTTCCTTCCTTGCACAGTAATAGCTGGACAAGATGGTCATGCTTTAGCTCAACTGCTTTATGCATAACTGATGACCCCATGTATAACTGACTCTGCAGCCTCAGATTGGACAAGCATCCCAAACTGTTCTGCAAAACAACAGAAACCATTTTGGTGATTTATAAATGTGTGGCGTGGATAACTTAGATCCAATTTGTGCAAATCTGTGAGCAAATTATGATTGGCTGTCTCTAGTTAATGAAAATTGTGTTCAGTAGGTTTTAACTTTAAATTCACATTTTTAATTCAATTTTTTTTAACTTTCTTGTATGTAGGCTCATTATTCCATACCAATTTGACATAATTGTCTTGGAATCATCTGATTTTTAGGATACTCCACAAAATCACATTTATCAGCCTGTGTTAATGCAAGAGAAACCTGTAATCGCACAACCTTTTCCTGGAAAACCTGAGGACTGCTATGGTGCCAGACCCTGAAGTGCTGTTACAACCAGGGCCGGCACTAGAGCAAGGCAACATGGGCACTTGCCTTACGGTGCCAGGGAACAGGGCGGAAAATTGACAGTCGGCCGCCCGGCATAAGTCCGGCTCCGGCCGTCCGATCGGGATCAGTGTGGGCTGCCGCTGCGGGCGGCATCTGAAGGACGAGTCCCCGCCAGGCCGCAGCGGCGCTGACCTGTGCAGTCTCAGTGACAGTCTCACTGTCTCGTCCTTGGCTACGTCCTACGTCAGTGAGTGGCGTAAGTGGCCCCGCCCCTGGTTCCCCTGGCCGCTCAGCCGCATGTGAAGGAGTAAGGGCTGCAGGAGGCGGAGCAACAGCTGCGTTTTCTGTTCTCCTCCACCCGGAAAGTTCGCCGCTAATGGGACCTGGCCCTGACAGCGAAGACACAGGATGACATGGGGGCGTAGGATGACATGGGGGCGTAGGATGACATGGGGGCACAGAATGACATGGGGGCACAGGATGGCATGGAGACACAGGATGACATGAAGACACAGGATGACATGGGGGCATAGGATGACATGGGAGCATAGGACGACATGAGGGCATAGGATGGCATGGGGGCATAGGATGACATGGGTTGCACAGGATGACATGAGGGCACAGGATGACATGGAGACACAGGATGACATGGGGGCACAGGATGACATGGGGGCACAGGATGACATGGAGACACAGGATGACATGAAGACAGGATAACATGGAGGCACAGGATGATATGGGGCACAGGATGACATGAGGGCACAGGATGGCATGAAGGCACAGGAAGGCATGAAGACACAGGATAACATGGAGGCACAGGATGATATGGGGCACAGAAGATGGGACCATGGGAGACACGGCCCCGGCCAGCGGAGGCTCCAGCAAGATGCTTCGGTGGCTGGAGGAAGAAGAGGCATGTCCTGAAAGCAGGCTGGGGAGCTGCAGGTAAGAGGAACAGCATGTGTGCAGGGAAAGGGACCCTCCACAGCCCATCATATATCCTGCACAGCCCACCTTAGAGTCTCTGTGCAAGGTCTATGGTGGGCTCTGGGGGGGTCTCTGGTGGGGATTGCAGGGACTCAGGTGGGCAGTGCAAGATCTATGGTGGGATGTGCAGGGTCTATGGTGGTCTCAGCCTGACACCCTGCAGAGCCCACCAGAGATTTACAGCCCATCTGAGACCCCGGCTTCCCTGCAACACTAAGGCCTCATTCACACTGCTTAGAGTTGGCCAATACACATCCGTGCGGGTGCAGGTGTCCGTGCTCGGATGCATATAGGATCCATCCTGTCTGCGTATTAGTATGAACATCCGCACCCGTGCAAATGTGCAGTTCAGTTGAGCGTACGGCCGCGTCCTCCCATAGAGAAGAACAGGCTGCTGCCTACAAATCCCACGCAGCAGCCTGTCCTTCCCGGGAACGGCCCGATACGTCCGTGAACGTCCCACGAATCTGTATTCTGCATTGGTTTTATATAATGTATAATTGCTGGGATTTGTGCACTTTAAAAAACCACAAATAGTTTGTTTGCTATCTTTCTCTGTAATAGATAAATAAGTTAAACGATCACTTTAAGCATCATAACCATTAAAGCTTAATGGAGCACAGATATAATGTATGCTGTATGGGGATGTTGGAGTGGTGTGTGTGTGCGTGTGTGCGTGCCGGGGGGGGGGGCGGCAAAATGCACCTTTGCCTGAGTTGGCAAAAATCCTTGCACCGGCCCTGGTTACAACCGCATATAGTTCTCTTTTTTTCCGGAAATGCTCTTAGTCAGTAGACTGGGAGACAGAGGGTGACTTTGCTGTACTCCTTGTTCATTGTAGAGGAAGGGGAGTCACTCTACAGGCTATGCAAAGTCTGTGAATCACAAGCCAGGGTGTACAAAATCATAAAGAAAGACCTTTCACAAACAAGTATTTCAAATCTGTATCCAGCTTTTTGCTGGGTGATATTTAAGGAACCATTGAGGTGAGCATTCATCTACCATATATGAGTCCCCATCAATAGACATCAGGGTGACCGATATTCATACATTTATTTACTAATTATTAATCCTTTACTAATTACAATGGGAATTTCAGCCAAGAGTGTTCAGACATTCCTACTGACGGGAGTGCCTAATCTATGTTCTGTATGCAACTACTAAAGGCTTTGTATAATCCAGAACCAGGAACATTTGAAGCAAACCTTTTCTGAGAAACACATTGGTGCTGACATTGCCAATCCCCTATTAAGAATGCTAAATGTCTGGCTAGTGCACTGACCAACTTGGTTCATTAAGGTTTAAGTCACATATCTGCAAAGTTAGACATCCTTATCTGCATATTCTTTCCAGGTAAGATCACAAAGTATTGACATAGTAGGGTAAACATGTCAGCCAGGACACTAGCTCTCACAGAAACAGTGGTAGGCTCCATGTTTCTCTTAGGAAAAGTTTCCTTTAAAGAGAGATAATTATTTCACAAAAAGGGCCCCTGCAAAAGAAGAATGCTTTCTGATGACACATCCTGCCCGCCATAATGACCAACAACTGTATCCAGATTACTATACAAGTAATTTTACACAATAATATGTTTTGCTTCTTCATAGGCTATCTTTAGGATGATTCCTGCCTCAGAACAGAACAACCTCCCAGAAGATGAAAATACACCACAGAAGAGAGCCGACAAGCTATGGGCTTATTTCAAAAAGAAGGATAATGGTAATTTCATTTAATTAACAGCTAATTGGGGATGAGCCAACCAGGCAAATTTTGGTTTGCTGGAAGTTCGGCAAATCCAGTAGGAAGGCTGTGAACCCTGAACTATATCGAAGTATAAGGGAGGTGAATCTTGTAACATTTTTCTCACCTTTTTGAAGGCTAATTTGTAAGCTTTTGTTAAAAAAGGATATAGGTAGCTGGGCACTGCCATGGGGAACGTGTATCATTGCAAAAACAACATGTAAAAAATATTATTTTTAAAAATAACATGCTTGGGGGGATGCCTTAAAGCTGCATGTGAAGTTACAAAACAGTACGGGTTAAAGAAGAACCATTTGGAGAGTAAAATGTACACTTCCCAACATTTAGAGCCGGGATGTGACTCTGCAGGTCTTACATGTCGGTTCTATAGATTGAGAGCTGAGTAATCACAAACCGCTGATCGTTTAGCTCACGGTTTTCTCCATGCAGAGAACAATGACTGTCAGTCACTCCTCCCCACAGGGATTCCCTCCTCCTCTCTCTGTTCTTCCAGCTGTGATTTACGGACAGAGAGGGGAGGGGGTACAGCTGGCTTTGGCTCTAGAGATGCAGAGCCAGCCGTCAATCAGGTGGATCCAGACAATATTGTAAGGATCTTTCCTGGCTGCAGCACCTGTCTGCGCTGCAAGCAAATAGTGGGCAGTAGCCTACTAGGTACTGACTTTGGGTCAAGGAGTACATTAGTAAACATACTCTTTTGACCCAAAAGTAGACTTAAGGCAAAAAAAAGGTGTGGCTTTAGTTTTGTTCTAAGTGACATAAAGAAAAACTACAGCCACTAAATGACAGATCCCTGGCTCACATTTGTTTGTAAATAAACTCAAATAAAGTCAAATTCATATTAACAAGCCTGCTAAGTCAGACTACTACAATTGTGCAATCTTTCACCAAAAAGTGCTCAATTGCATGTGCTCACAGTGCCATACAAAATGCCACCACATGGTTCACTGTTTTATATAGCTTCATATTGGTGCCATTTGATGACGCCATGATGCCCAATGATGTCATCACATACGCTACGTCATGACAGGTGATGTCTTCACATAAGGGCAAGACTTTGAAAACCTTTGGTAGAATTTGTGGGTCTGTTACACAAGTACAAGAAGAATCAGATAACACAGGGAACATACTCCTAGTCCCACTAAGTCAAAGTTGTTTTTTTAAAATTTATTTTGGATAGAGTGGAGAAATATTAGAACCTCTGTGGTGTTTTATTATTGTGTCCCTGCTGGGAAGATTTATACTGTTGTTTTCCTGGTAACCATTGTCACTGGAACTGAAATCAAGGGAAAATCCTGAAATTGTAATAGGAATAGAGGGGAAGACTTCAAATGGGGACACTTGTTCCAGTTACTAAGATGATTTCCTTTCCTTTTCACTTACTGTTGTGTTTCCAGGACAGGAAATGAAGGAAAATCTCCCTATTAGATCATAGGCCACATATTAAAACATGACAGGGTTTTAACCATTCCCTACTCTATACAAAATGAAAACAGTATTGGCTTTAGATATACTTTAATGCATGCACAAAATAATAGGACATATAACACTATAGATTATGGGAATGTGTGTGCTAAAGAGACTTTGCTACTGGTGGGAAAGGAGGAGATTCAGATATAAAGTGCATGCACCTTTAGGTAACATACCGGTACTTGCAGCAAACTCCCAAACCTTCATGTCACATCTGAATGCCAGGCTATGGCTGTTCAGACAGACTAAAGCTGCCCATACACTAATAGATTTTTGTACAAACATTCGTACAAACAAATCTGGACAGAACTTTCGATAATGTTATCAGACACTTCATGAATGTCATTCAAAATTTCGTTTGATTTGAAACATGTTTAACATTTCATTCTGGAATTAATGGAGTTTCCTGAACGAAAACCGCACTCACTGTTAGAATTTCGTTTGATCGCAAAAAAAATTCCATCCTGCTCCTTCAACTTTTATGTTCACATCAGCTATTAGAAAGTTGAACAAATTTTCCAAAAATTCTACTGGTGCATGGCCAGCTTAGGCTTCTTAACCATGGAACACTGGAATATCATGCAACATAAAGCATAAGAAAAAAAGAGACAATTATTTGAGCATGATGATATTATCTCTCTGTGCTTACACAATACAGCACTTCAGCACATAGGTATGTGTATCAGTTGGTAAAGAACAGGAACTCAAAAAATGAGTATTTGTTGAAAGTGATAATATTGTTTTGGGTTTAACAAGCCAAACTGCCAGAAGTGTTTTCTGAATGAGGTTTGGAGAAGGAATGATAGAACTGAACAAGTTCTGAACATACCAAAGAGTCTAATAGGCAAACCCATATGGGGTGCCAATAATTAGTATTTATGTAGGTATATATTATTTTTTTTATATGAAATTGGTTTATTTTAATATATTTTCATTTCTTTTTATCCAGATAAAATTGCTGAGGGGGAGTTCATTCAAGGCGTTATGATGAATGAGGAAATAATGCGGCTTATCCAATATGACCCTAAAGTAGCTAACAAGTCTTGAAGAAAGACAGCAAGGCATACAAGAATGCCAAACGTGTTTGCCTGTGGTGTATATAATTTGGTGTATATATGTTTTTGTGAGTTATCAGGTGATGTTTACAGTCTATAGTTAAAAGTTTTAGAGTTACTTTGTAGTACACAAATAGATGCCTTCGTTCACTCAATCACTGGACTACAAGCTAATAATTTAAGGAATCAAGCATAGCAATCACTCTTTATTTCTGTTTCCTAGAGTGCCAGAAATAATTAAAAAAAAAGTCATAAACAGCAGGGGAGTAAAGTTTAAAAAGCTGACAGCAGTCCTTGGCAAAAACTGTGTATTTGCACACAGGGCCGTCTTTAATACTGATTGGACCCTGGGCAAACATTTTCTTGGGCCCCCCATTCCTAGATTGTGTACACAGGTGTAGGTGCCTACGTCTGCTGTCAGTGCTAAAATGCAAGGCCAGTGGTAGGAGTTTTGCAGCACAGGACCTTCTTTGGGCCCAACAACAATGATTGGGCCCTGGGCTGCTGCCCCTTTTGCCCTGCGTTAAAGACGGCCCTGGTTGCACAGTGTGCATTACCCAATATATGGAGCAGGTGAAATAAATTCTTCGGGCTACTGGTCAAGTTGCAGTACAATACTTTTGTGATGGGGTTCAGGATCCAGATTGACTGCCTTAATATGTCATGTATTGAGTGCAGTGATTTTTTTCCCATTCTTTCCCTAGGTCACGTGACCTGTAATATCACATTGTCAAGTGCAAGGGCACATGGTAAAGTATCACTGTGTTCGTCACTGGCCCTCTAAGGCTGACCTTACACTTTAGATCTACCATCTATGTAGTGCAAGAGCCTGCCTTGATACTAATTGAATGGGGTGTATAGGTTTGTTCTCATATTAAATAATTTTGGTGAATCTAAAGAAAAGTGTACCAAGATTGTACAATCTGATTGTATAGGGTATGGCCATCTTAACACTGGCTTCCCTATACACCTCTGTTGTAACAGTGAAGTATAACAAAGCAGTAGTGAACTCAGTGTGACTAGAGAGTCTCTTGGCTCTCTCTCTGTAATTGGAAAGTCTCTAGCAAGTCATTCTCTGTAACCAGGCAGCCCCGTTCCTGTAACTGGCCTTTGCTATCATAATTTTTCATTCTGTAATATGCTGATTCTACAGCAGGTTACAGGCAGGGTTGCCGGTCATGCGCTAGATATTAAATAAAAGACTTCTAATATTGTTGTGATATTAATTGTTGTGCTGCAATTTGCCCTTTTGTTTTGAGACACCCAATGTGTCCTTCGTTGATCCAACAAGGGAAACCTCCCACACAACTAATGTTTGAATACTGTATCTTAAGTTCATGTCCAGTCATTATACAAAAAGTCAAACAACTCAACAGTCTTGGTGGTGCGCAGAACTACCCTCCAGGTACTGGGAATTCCAGGAATGCCTTTTTCAAACCACTTTGAATCTTGGGATCCTGAAATGCACATTACAATCTCAAAGGGTATTGGTTGTGGCCATGCTTTGTGAGTTGCTGTTGTCTGGCACATTAAATTACTGAAGACCAGTTCCGTTGGAGAGCATTTGTTTACTTCATACAGTTCCTTGGCCATGATTTAAGCCCTTTATCAATAATCAGTTCACATATAAAAGACAAGTGTAACAAAGCAGTTTATGTTGTGTGTGTATCCTAGTTCCACCTAAGCAATGCATCCAATTTTATTAGATAACGATAACGTAATTTGTCACGCTTTGTAAGTTAAAAACATGTTAAATGTTTCTTATTAATAGTTGATGTAATAAAAAGCAGGTTCTACAGTTAAAGAGGTTCTCCAGTAAAAATCAGGATTTTATTTATGTCTTTGACCCACTCTGTGTAGTAAAATTCCCACAGTACCCTTCATTTTCCACGATCCTTAAAAGAGAATTATGAGGCGAGTGGGGACGGAGTGGATGCAGAGAATTCAGACCTCACAATGCTGGGGGAGGCCAAACCCAGATGCAAGTGTGCCACAAGATGCAAATAGCTGTGCCTATTTGCAGATTATGGAAAATGCTATCTGCCCCCACCACAGTATAATTCTGCTTTAAAGTGGAGCTGAAGCCAAAACCTGTTTTTTAGTTTTGGATAGGGTAAAGGAGGGCCCCATCAGCTTTTTCCCCATCTCTGTTTCATTGGGGATATTTCCCTTTACCTGCTGTCTGATAGCCAAACAGGAGGTAATCCCTTTCAAAGGGACATCTCTGGTGGTCAGCATTGGAAGATTTAACATCTATTCCTGTTCTGGTGACCACCCAAAATTTGGGATTTTGTTTTTATTTTTATGATGGAGGTGTTTACTGCCACAGAATCAGCTGTTTATTTTTCATTTTTTCCAGTAGGAGCCCTTTACTGCAGATGTGTCATTGCCCTGGTTTGATTTAGTATGCAAATGTCACTGTTGGTAAATTGTATGATCAAAACGTATCTGTATGCCATGGTAATTATCATAAAAACACCATGAAGCCATGAACATTAAAATGAATTACTTTTTCATTATTATCTCAGTGGTCTGATGTTACAAAATTTGCAAAGTGATACAAAAATGTCTAAAAGTACTAAACTAATGTTAAAGAGCAGATCTACTAACTTTGCTTTTGGGCAATGTTTAGATGTCTACATTTTACTAGACAGTGTACACAAGCAAGTTTCAGAAATGTGTTAGTACACTACACATCTTTAATTCCATGTGGTATTGCATTACTAATAAAGATACAACAACATGTTTATATGTACTATTATTTGAAGTGAAAAATTCAATGGTTTCTGAATTTGAAATAAAAAAAATTTAATTGTTCAAAGTGTTTCTTTATCCCAGCTTTCTGATGATTTCCTATTAAAAAAAGAATAAATATATTGGTTTTGCTTCCAAAAACATTTTCTTGCATTGTAGCAAAGCCAGCAAATGAACAAGCAATGGTCCCACTGACATTTAAAGTGAAACCTCAGGCCAGCTTCTAAACGCACGGTTGAGATACAAATAATTAGCAGTTTAGCAATCAAGGATTTGTAGGTTTGGGCAGTGACACACATCTGCTAGTCAATGAGATTACTCTGCTATGTTCCTGAATTAGCGCTACTGCCATCTGTTCAATACTCACCGGGCAGAGGTAAAGATCCTGCCTTAATTTCCGGGGGACAAGGTTGAAGGAGTATAAATTCCTTAATGATGTACAGAATTACAAATCATTTGAAAGGTAAGCCAATTATGATCTCATGTATTTCAGCTGTGTAAGTATCTTATTTCCCAGAGTTTCACATTTATTTTGCTAATACCATGTTTGAAAATGTGTCTATTGGGCTTCAAGCTTCTTCACTCGCAATGCACACTATGTGTAGAAAGACAAAAGCTGGACATACATCAGTAGAATTTTGTTTTTAAAAAATTGTTTTCGCAATACTCAAACCAGCCCGTCTGGCACCAACAACCATGCCATGTTCAAAGTCACTTAGACCACCCTTTGTCCCCATTCTGATGCTCTGTGTTTTTCCTAATAGTTAATGGGGTAAAATTGACAATCATTTTCAAACGTAGTCGAACCTTTGGTCGGCAAACTCCATTCATTTCCATAATCAACTGCTGTTGTAATTGTACAGACTAATTATGGCTTAGGGCAAGGGTAAGCAAACTCTGTCCCTTCAGCTGTGGTGAAACTACAAATCCCATCTTGCATCGGCCCCTGGGAGTCATGCCTGTGGCTGTCAGAGTCTTGCAATGCCTCATTGGATTTATAGTTCTATAACAGCTGGAGGGCCAGAGTTTGCCTACCCCTGGTTTAGGGTGTTTTGTTTTTTGTTCCAAAAAAGTACCCACCTATTTATATAAAAGTACCTACTTTGGAATGTTTTAATTCACAGAATCACTGACAGGTCTATTCACAAAAGGTTGAAGAGTTTGGAGAAGGCAGGAGAAGTGAACAATCTAGGAAAAAATAGCCGATTTGGAAAAATTCTCCAATTCAGCTCACTTTCCAGCTCAGCTATGTTGTCATAAATTGTTCCCTTCTCCTGCCTTCTCCAAACTCTTCACCCTTTTGTGAATAGAGCCCTTAGTCTTTATTATATGGTATCATGCAACCCTGGTTGAAAATGTTACCATTAATACAAAGCACCACAGACATCTCCTATATTTGTTGTGGTGTAAATTCATAGATCATACAGTTATCTTCTATATGAAATGAAGGAGATGCATACACTCCTAGACAGAAGAGACATTTGATGAAGGGTTTCTCAGCAGGAGAACACTGACCTGATACAAACATATTTATTTGTGTTCAACAGAAACTTTTTTTAATAAGTTTCAGTGTATGTCCTACTGCAGAATAAAAGGAATACACAATGTAATTTCCATGATCTGCATAGAAATAGTGTGCATGTGCTTTGTGTTTCAGTCTAATCACAGCACTACTCGGTACTGTAAATATTTTACGCCATGGTATACCTTATCCCATTGTAATTCACATTAGATATGATTGTATGTAAAACATTACATATGATATACCGACCTAAATGCTAGAGATCTGTTAAAAACTACCATTCTTGGAACATATTAAGCTCGTGTGTGTTACATATTTAATGTGTGTCCTGCAGTTCAGTTTACATCCATCACCATTGCGGCATGACTTTGAAGTGCGTCTAAGGAGCAACGTCCTCTGAACTGGATCCAGTTAAAGGCACTGTTGCTCATGACAGATGGCCATGTTTATTAATGACATATAGTCATGTATATTAATTACAAATCTGAGACAGGGAAATTGTGACCACTGTTTAATATGCTATAGTCAGTCTTATTAAAGTGTTTATCTTCAGTTTCTCCCAAATAAAAGGAATTAAGTTCCGTTACAACAACATTGGTAGGTTATAATTAATGAAGATTATACTTCCACCTTTATTTGTTATAAGCTATTAACAAATGCTATCTGTGATCTGTGAAATCCAGTGTACATATGTTGCTTATTTTCTGGGATAATGTGTGCTTGCTT